ATATCGGGACTGCACAAAGGTGGTCACTATGGACAGGTGGTCTTTATATAGAGATCACTTTACATTGTAAACTGCAATGGGACTGCACAAAGGTGGTCACTATGGACAAGTGCATGCAGGTCTTTATATACAGATCACTTCACATTGTAAACTGCAATGGGACTGCACAAGGGTAGTCACTATGGACAGGTGGTCTTTATAATCAGATCACTTTACACTGTAAACTGCATTGGGACTGCACAAAGGTGGTCACTATGGGCAGGTGGTCTTTATAAACAGATCACTTTACATTGTAAACTGCATTGGGACTGCACAAAGGTGGTCACTATGGACAGGTGGTCTTTATAAACAGATCACTTTACATTGTAAACTGCATTGGGACTGCACAAAGGTGGTCACTATGGACAGGTGGTCTTTATATACAGATCACTTTTCATTGTAAACTGCATTGGGACTGCACAAAGGTGGTCACTATAGGCAGGTGGTCTTTATATACAGATCACTTTACATTGTTAAACTGCAATGGGACTGCACAAAGGTGGTCACTATGGGCAGGTGGTCTTTATATACAGATCATTTTACATTGTAAACTGCATTGGGACTGCACAAAGGTGGTCACCATAGACAGGTGGTCTTTATATACAGATCACTTTACATTGTAAACTGCAATGGGACTACACAAAGGTGGTCACTATAGGCAGGTGGTCTTTATAAGGTTGTTCAAAATCATCTAGTCTGAATCTTCATCATCACCGTAGTCATGTGACAAAGTCCGCTGAAGCCCTAGGAGAGAAAACGTAAAATCGTCATGATCACTTGGTCTAATTTTGGCTTTTTGCTGATAGCTACTGCTTGGTTAATTCAGTGAATATGCAATATTAATCACAGAATTGATATTGTATTGTGTCTTTCACTCACTAGTATCTAATTTACAGCCTAGAAGTGAGAATCCATACAAAGTCATTTCCGTTCACCTTTTTTTATCTCTTTTATGTCATCATGCATGAATTTTAATGAATATATAAATTTCTTTCAATTAAATGTTGAACTTCAAAATTGCACCGTGAGATCATGCTTCTTGATTTATCTCCATGTTTGGCAGTTACTGTATAACATATCTGATTCAAATATTCATGAAATGCGGGTAATACGTTTTAAATGTCATTGTTTCTTCATAATGTAAACCAGCTAATCAGAAAGAATAATTTAGCAAAATTCATGTCGCAAATGTGTATTAAGCATGACCTTAATAACACTGGCACACTAATATACTGTAAAAATGTTCAAAGTTACTCTGATTTTTAGGAACATTTTTCATGACAATACCCATTCGGATTTGTGTAGTGTTTTAATCTGATAACATGATTTTACGCTCATTTTAGCGGTTTAATTTAAAGCATCCGAAAACGGGTTTTTTAAAAAAGTACAAGTTGAATTAGAACATGTTCTGCTAAATAAAATAACACTGACATGAGAGCCATCAGTTTACTCTGATTAGTACACTACAATCCAAAGGAAAGCATATAAATATTTCTATTATAAATTGGTGAATATTGTTCCTTATTTGAAAAGCTTACCTCTCGTGGGTTGAAGCAGAGCAGCAGTTGAAGCATCTTTTGCAAGATCGTAAGCTAATTTCTTGTCATTGTTTCTGATGTCTGTTTTTACACCTACAAGTGATTAAAAATAACAGACAAGGTTTTCAGAAATGAAGTAACATTACCATTCATGTTCAGTATAAAAAAACATGGTCAACGAATTCTTCTTCTATGACATCAGACAAAAAATGTAAAGTGATTTTAAAATATTCTAAGATCTTTATGAAAAATTGAATAAGAATTTTAAAAATAATATTAAATTTTCATTAGAAATTGAACATAAGTTGATAGAGAATTGAATAGGAATTTTAAAAATATTCTAAGATCTTCATAAGAAATTGAATCGAAATTTTACGAATATTATAGGCAATTTTATATTTCAAAAGCATAATTTTTATAAGAAATGTTGTAAGAGAATATCTATAAGAGTGAGAAAAACACATTTTAACTTTTATTAAATATTAACACACAATTTGCATAAAAGAACGTGTACAGCATGAGAATTACACACTATGTAAGAAACCTGTATGATGAGAAGAACACCATAAGTTTCAATAGAACACATTAAAGATATATACCTTTATTGAGAAGAGCTTGTACTACATTTGTATGGTTTTTCCAAGCTGCTGAATGAAGTGGTGTGTCACCCATTTTGTTCTGTAAATAAATGATACAGGACTTAAGGCTGATTTATATAGTACATATATAACAAATTATTCAAAGTGGTTGCAGAGGAATTTCTATGTATATTATCAATATCCTTGAGCTTGTCGACATAAGGATTACGGTACTGTAAACTACTATATTTTCGCTTGGAATTTATTTTCGCTGGGATGATTCAGTGAAAATATAATGCAATGAATATAACTTTTTTTTCCTATATTTTACCTTTACCTTACCAAAAAACAGTGAAAATAAATTCCATACAAAACACCCAAAAATTCTTTTCAGCAAGTATTTTACAGTAAGAGAAAAGTAAGCAAAATGAAAATGTTGGGGGCTCGGGGTGCTTGTACATGAAACAACTTACAGCAGTATTATATTTTTTATGTAAAAAGTATAATTTTTGTTTTACTTCAAGGGGCCATTTTTTTTTTTTTATTTCCCCTCATGATAGTTTTGTACATTACATAATAAATGATAAAATTAAATACAGATAGATTCCAAAACATATAATGTGGTTTTACCTGTACATTCACTTGTATATTGGGTTTGGAAAGTAAACATGTTAAACATTCAATATGTCCACCATGAGCTGCCCAATGCAGAGCTGTGCAACCTGCTTTATCAAGACCATTCACTGAAACCTAAAATGAAATAACATGAGGTTATTACGAGAATATCTCAAAATATGCATGAAGACAGTACAGCTGGAGTATCGACCAACGCGCAGCGTGGCATACTGTCTGAGTGCATACTTTGAGGTATTCTCATAATAACCTTATTATTATACATCTTTTCCTTCTAAGGATACATCATGGGAATACCGAATCCAAAAAGTTCAGAACAGAATCAGCGAACTTGGAGTCCGGTCAAATCCTGTTGGCAGCCATGTTTGTTTTTATTATTAGAGGACGCTTATGCACGTAATCATTCCATATTTGGAATTCACATTTCCTTATATGGTGGGATGAAAATACCCCGTAAAATACCGCAAAATTATGCGGTATTTATGGCGTTACGGTGACAAGTGTATAATAATGTTTTTTATTGAGCCATTAAAAAAATTGAAAAATCTTTGCATGGCATAGCAATAAATTCAGATAAAGGGTATTAAGTATTCATCAGTCTCTGGATCTCCATACATCATGTCGTAATTCTGCATCCTACCTTATTAGGTAATGTTAATTCAAAGACGGTGGCCATTTTAAAAAATAAATTCCATAGCAACAATGTTTTTCATCATCTTTATCCATTCAGGGCTTCATACACCAATATGTTGGAATGATGAGTTGTATTAGTTAAGATTATAGTCTACTGTAATGTATGCACTCAGACAGCACACAGGGACATAAAGCTACGATATGCGTCAGTTAATGTTTTCAATGTTCTGTCTTCATCTATACTTCTCATTTTCAAAAAAAAATTGAAAAGAGGTGTTAATTTATAATCAACAAATTAATATGTTCCTGTTGGTACATATTCAAAGGAATCTCTCACATTATAAAAACACCAGACATCCCATAGAAAAGGAAGATATTTCAATCATGTCAGAATAAAGATAATTAGGTTCATGAAACTCAAAGGTTATCATTTTCTGGCAATGACTGGTACTGGCACACCTACTTGAACACATGATTTGCAGGGAAAGGAAAACAAATCAGATCAAATTAACTACCCTACATGTACACAACAAAGAGAACCAAAATAAACTTATTGGTTTAATTAATATAGAACACTATTCAGTGTAATTTTTACATATTTGATACTTCATGTCACAAGGATGAAAAACATGGAATAAAAAGATGGTGACATCGTACTCGGTTTGGAAATAATCAATGTACAAAAAAGAGTAAAAATAGCACGTTTTGTGTGTTTTAGGGCATTTTTGTATTGTTTTCCGTGAAACAGATATATCTCAATATTTCAAAATTTTGCAATGAAAATATTTAAGTTTCTTCTTTTTTCTTCAGTCCTTGTCTCATAAACTGGTTCATATACTTACTCCATTGGCCAGACATTCATTCATAAAATCCAGATTGCCTCGCTTTGCTGCTTCATGCAATGGAGTATCAATGGCTTCCGCACTCTCTTCAACTGTAA